TCCAAAACGATTGAATCAAAGCCGACTCACTAATACAACCAAAACGGTAGCGTTTTGGATTTAAAAAAAACTAAGATTGTTTTAAACAAAAAAAAAACAGAATGCTGAACCGAGTTAACCAGATGGTGAATCTTAGCCAAATCGGTTCAATTGATTGAATTGAACAAATCTCAATTGGAATTGCAATGGTTAACGTGGAGATTCTGTGTCGTCTCTATCTCCGACACATGTACCTAAAGGTTGCATTTTTCTAACCAGAGAGAGAGACAAGCCCCCAAATCAGAAAGCCACCTTCGTGCCCTAAGGAAAAATAAGTGAAGAAGAAATGATACAGAGATTGATTCCTCTCAATCGGAAAGCGTTCACATTGGTTCAGAATCGTTTCCATGAGACAGGTACTCTGAGAAATGCTCTATTCCATAGCCCATTCGTGTTCTTGTCTTGCTCCTTTTCTTCTGGTTTCAGCGATAGAAATCTCTCTTACAAAGAGAGGTTGAGAAGTGGGATTGTTGATATTAAGAAAGATGATGCTATTGCTCTGTTTCAAGAAATGATTGGGTCTCGTCCTCTTCCGACTCTCGTTGATTTCAGTAGATTGTTTACTTTAGTTGCCAAGACGAAACAGTATGATCTCGTGTTAAGTCTCTGTAACCAAATGGAATTTCAGGGGATTGCGCATGACCACTACACTCTGAGTATCATGATCAATTGCTTCTGCCGGCGCCGGAGACTCGGTTTTGCTTTCTCTGCTGTGGGGAAGATCATGAAACTTGGGTTTGAGCTTAACACAATCACGTTTTCAACTTTGATAAACGGATTGTGTCTCCAAGGTAGAGTTTCTGAAGCTGTTGCGCTGGTTGATCGAATGGTGGAAATGAGACACCGACCCAATCTCAGAATGCTTAACACTCTCATCAACGGGCTTTGTCTCAAAGGTTAAGTGTCTGAAGCAGTTGTTTTGATTGATCGAATGGTGGAAAATGGCTGTCAGCCCAGTGAAGTTACCTATGGACCAATTTTAAATGTAATGTGCAAGTCCGGGAAAACTTCTCTGGCCTTGGATTTTCTCAGAAAGATGGAAAAAGGAAAGATCAAACTCGATGCAGCCAAATACAGTATCATCATTGATAGTCTTTGCAAAGACGGGAGATTTGACGATGCACTCAACCTTTTC